GTTCGGTCTCGGCGAGGACAGCCGTGTCGAGCAGGCCCACGAGGCGGATGGCTCCGTGGCGTCGGATGCAGACCTCGTGCAGACGCGCGGGCCTGTGCCGAGCATCTCGCCTTCTACGCCTTCCACAATCGCGTGACCAACCACAGCCACAAACACGATTGCGCTGCCGCCTGCAACAAGTATACCAAAAAGAAACTCGGGGAGAAGGAAACGTTGCAGTCACGCGAGGTTCCATCCTGCCTGTTCTGGTTCCTCCACGTAGTAGCCTTCGGCCGGAAGCGGACAAGAAGGCGCGGCGCGCATCTCGTCTCGGAGCCGTTCGTAGCCGTTTTCGATATTCGCAATCAGGAGTTCCGTTGCTTAGTGTGCTTGGAGCAGCTGGTAGCACCAGTAAGGACGTCGCGTAGGTGTGCGCGCGTGGCAACGTGGATTTCCAATCCATGTGCTGCGCGCTGGCATGGCCGGCGACCGATGGAGGCCACGAGTCAGCGGTATCGTTGCCCGAGCGGCCACGGCGGTGCTGTTCAGCCTGTTGTTTTTCCCAGCAGTGCTCCCCAGCCTGCTCCAGCAGGTCTTCCCAGCCACTCTTCCCCGTCGGCCACGGCGGTGCTGCTAGTCCTGCTCTCTTGGATGGTCGGGTGGGCGACGCAGAGCCGCCGTCGCCTCCGCATCCAGAGGAGCCAGCGCGGAAGAGGATTAGGACCCGAGGTGAAGCCCGCATGGCTCGTCCTGCCGCGCGCCTCCTAGCGAAGAAACGCGAGCGGTCCGTCGCGTGGCTGCCGGGTGTCGTGCTCGAGAAACCAGCAGGGAGGACGAGTGAGCGTGCCATCCGATGCTTCTTCGCCAAAGCGGCAAGCGTGGACTTCTACTGCGCGAAGTATCAGGGCAAGCCGATGGAAGCGCTCGCGCCGCTCCTCACCTCCATGGCAGGGCGTCTACATGTCGAAAAGAAGGAGCCGGAAGAGGAGGAGGCTCCGGCGCGCGCCGCGGCCGAGAGGGCGGGCGACGGGGGCGCAGACCACCCCCGAACCAGGCGCCGAAGGGCGCGCGAGGACATCGCCAGGCGGGCTCGGCGCTTCGCCTGCCGCGTTGCATCCATGGGCAATCGCTGCTTCTGGCTCTCCTCGACAGAGCCCGCCGTTCATATCATGGCGGATGGCGACTGGCTGCAGAGCCAATGCGCGATGAGACACCGCAAGAGCACCCTCAATGGCGAGCCGCTGGAGGAACGCGTGGGCCCGGATCACGCTAGTCCGAGCCGTCGCTGTGCGCGTCGCGCCTGACGTGCAGCAGCAGGGCCGCGCGGAGGGCCCCGGCGGCGGCGCTGCTAGGCGTGCCGCGGAGGAAGGGGTGGTGGTTGACGACGCTTTTCACGCCCGCGCCACGAGCGACAACGTGAACGACGATTGTGCCCGCCGAGGAAACGCTCTCGCGACGATGCCGTTGCACGCGCGCCGTATGTACGTGGGGCGGGCCCCCGAGCCAGGCCCGGCGAAGATGTGGCGCGGCGCGCTGTTCCGATTCGAGCCTCGTTGCGATTTGGCCAATGCGTGCGTCCAAGACGTGGTTTTACAATGATCTGTGCCCCTGCCGTAGATGCCTTCGTTGCTCCTGTCCTCGAGTGCGACCCGGAGCAGGATGGCCTGCGGCCGCGCGCGCAGCTGCGAGGGCCTTCTGCACCGGGGGCCTGCTCGGAGACGCGCGCCGCGCGGCGCTGTTCAGCCTGGCCTGTCCAGGAAGTCGGCGGCGCTGATCGGCTTGCCACGTCGCGCGCTTCGCCGCCGCCGCTGGCTCCGGGCCGGTGCGACTTCCAGTGCGCGAGGCGCCCCCTCTGCGCCGAGATAGGCGTCCGCGCCGCGCGGGCGGCCGCCGGGCGCGACGCGGCGCGCGATTGGCTCGGCCTAGCCGACGGCGCGCTGTGCGAGAGGCGGAAGGGGCCCCTTGGTGACATCGTGACAGGGGGTTCGCAGGCCGTCGTGGTGGAACGGCCTCATGTGGCGTTCCCCTCCCGCCTCGCGCAGGCCGACTCAGTTAAGAATTCTTCGACCTGCCGTTCGCCGAGCATCTGGGGCAGAGCGCGCTGGCGGAGTTCTCTTCGTCGTCCGCGACGCCGTGTTGCGCGTCGAGTTGGCCGCGGAGGCTCGCGCGAAGATGCCGAAGCCGTGCGCGGAGGACTGCAGTTCCGAGTCTGACGCCGGCGCCGACCAGGGCAATCCCGAGGCGCGCCTTGCAGTGGATATCGAATGCATGGGGGGCGTCGAAGAAGACCATCCAGGATGCGACGCAGAACTGTTCCTGGGAGGGTCTCCCTCTTCCCATTGACGGATGCAGGGAATGTGATCTCCTCGTGCGTGCCGGAGGACGAGTTGGTTGCTCCCGTGACCAGAACGAAAAAGTCCAATAGCGACGTAGACATGCAGGCTCTCCAGGACATGTATCTGTCCCTGGCGAAACAGGACGTCCCTGGCCCGTCGGGCATGAGTGAGACGCGCGCGAGGGGCTTCGGCAAAGGGGCCCTCGAAGGTGAGGCTGGGCCGCCAAGAGAATGACATCGAGCTGGCCAAGAAGATGCATGGCAACCCCGAGGGCGATGCTGCAGGCGGGGCGGGCGCCGGCCATGGGGTCCCGTCGGCGGTGTTCCTCGACCTGCCGAGCCAGAAGTCGTGCCCCTGGACGTGGCGATGCAGGGCCCTTTGGTCGCGGCGCTTCACCTCGCGCGGGGGGCCGACTGCGCGGGGGCAGATGGGCGCGGCAGTTCTGCTCGCCCCCTCCCTCCAGCAGCTCTTCGAGCAGCGCCCAGACAAGGCGACTCGAGGTCTCCCCGTCGCTTCCCGCGGTGACGACCGCGGGGCCGTCTGGCTGGGCGGCGTTGGGTGCGGCGAGACGCGGGCTCTTGAGCGGGCGGTCCAGCCGATGGCCGAGGCCTACTTCGCCCCTCCAGGTGCGGGGCCGCGGCGCGCTCGAACGCCGCGGGCAGAATCTCAGAGACAAGGCTCGCGGGCTCCTCGGCGCCCCTGGGATCCTGCTCAGAGGTTCCTCGAAGAAGGTCAGGCTGTGCCTGGGCGTTCTGGCGCAGAAGAAGATGGTCGGTCTCGCTGGCGAACTGGGCGTGGGCGTCATCGGCGAGCTGGGCGCCGTCCCGGCGGAGGTGCTGCGCGTCGACGCCTTGCGGGAGACGCGCGGCCGTGCTCGGCGCTGAAATCTGGGCCCCGCGTACTGCGCGGGGTTGCGGGCGACGTTGGGGCGCGTGCCGTGCAAGCTACTCTGTGTGGACTTCTGCCAGCTCCCGCCAGTGCCCAGCTTGGCCCCCTTGCTGTCCCCTGCATGCCGGCAGTCCATCGGGAGCTTTCGAGCCCCGGAGCCTCTCCTGGACATCCCCCGCGTGCTCGAGTTCGTGTGCGCGAGCCGGTTTGACGACCTGGGCCTTCTGCGGGTCCGCGAGGCCAAGTGGGCGAGAGGCGGCGAACAAATCAGGGGCGACGTCCGGGCCGAGAAAGCCGCAGTCTGCCGCAAAGATGGCCCTTTACTCCGTGGCGCGCGCGGCTGGCGCGAGTGCGCCTGCGAGTGGTGCGGGGTGTCGTTCGCCGGGTGCGCGCGCGCGTGTGAGCGCCGAGCGTGCAGGGCCCGTTTTGCCTCCCAGCATTCGACGGACCTTCCACTGGGCTGTCCCAGCCAGACTGCGACGACATGCGCTTCTGCGCTAACGTCGGTGCGACCGCCGAGCTCGCCGGCGTCCTCCATGGAGCTGGTGCTCGCGAGGTCTTTACTTGCCGCCTCGATTGGTAACTGCGCGTCGCCTCCGTGAAGGTCATGGATGTTGAGCTCCACCCGCAGGGGTCCCCAGTGGTCAACGGGCAGTCCAGTCGCCGGCGCTCTTGCGTGGTTAGGAAATTCGCGCCAGTCGCCGTCCGCGTCCAGGTTCCAAATTGACGCGACAACTTCCTCGAGGACGACTCTGGTGCTCTTCGGCCCGTGGGGCCAGACTTGACATGCGTGCTGGCCGTGATGCCCGTCGTGCGATTTTGGTCGCGCAAGCCTGCGGGCGAGCAGATAGCCGTGACTGTGATCGGGACGTGAATTCAATAGTTGCCCCAAACGCTGTGGGCGCTTCATGGCGTCTAGGGCCAAACGGCAGATCCAGGATTCATTGCCCGCTGGCAGTTCCCGACTGAGGGAACAAGTCGTTCGGCTCGCCCGGTATGTGGCTCTGTTTCGCCCGCGCCATGTCCGCAGTCTCGTGTGTTGCAGCGAGCCAGAGGATCCCCCGGAGGTAAGCGTTGTCGCGTTCGCTGGGTTCTATTTCCGGAAGATTCGACCGGCAAACGTCGGGCGTTGCTAAGGCACGCGCCGCTATGATTTGGTCACCGTGGTACTGAAACCGTTTAGTTTTCCGTCCTTGCATTTTGCAGCTTGGAAAACATCGCCATCATCTTCCATCCTTTTGTCCCTGGTGTGACCGTTGAATCCTTCGTCCCTCCTGGAACGTGAAGGGGCCGAGCGACTCGACGGTCCAGGTGGTCCATTGAGGTCCTCCTCCTGCTTCAGAGGGGACCATTGGGTTTCGTCATCACCGATTTCAACATCATCATCATCATGACCCCCATCAGCCGTATCATTCTCATCGGTTGCATCTGCGGTGCGTCGTGAAGTCTTCACACCTCAGCTGTTATCAGGCTGCATTGCTGGGGCAGTGTTCCTCTCCTCCACCGTGGCGAATATCGGAGGCTCATCCCCTGAATGTCTTTACCTTTTCCGTCTTTTCCATCCTCTTTTTTTCATTTCCCTTATCCCGCCTCCTTTTTCCTCTCGTTTCGCTCCCTCCCATCAGACTCGTTCTCCATAGTCCTTCTCCTACTTTTCCTCCTCGCCTTCCCCCCCCCCGTTCGCCCCCCCTTTCGCCCTTCCCCCCTCCCCCTCCTCTTCCTCCTCCTCCTCCTTTTCTTGCTCTTTCTGCTGTTTCTCCTCGCCCCTGGTTTTGTCTCGATTCCTCATGTTCTGAGGTTCAGCACCTCCGGGCTACTGTTCATCGCCGCCAACCTTGTGCTCGGCGCTGGGGTGTTCAACTTCCAGCAGCGGGTGCTCCATTCGGGCGCCTGCCGCAAGGAATGCCCCTGCCGATGCTGTTCGGCCGCCGCCGCCGCCTTCGTCGTTGCCGCGGCCGTCACCGCCGCCACCGTCGCCGCCGCCATCGCCGCCGTTGTCGTTGTTGTCGCCGTCGTGTCCGTCGTCGTCGTCGTCGTCGTCGTCGTCGTCGTTGTCGTCGTTCGTCCTCGTCGTCGTCGTCGTCGTCGTCGTCGTGTCGTCGTCGTCGTCGTCGTTGTCGTCGTCGTCGTCGCCCGTCGTTGTCGTCGTCGTCGTCGTCGTCGTCGTCGTTGTCGTCGTCGTCGTCGTCGGTGTCGTTTTCGTCGTCCTGCTCCTTCTCCCTCCTCGCTCCTCCGCCTTCCTCTTCCCCACCCTTCTCCGCGGGCTCTTCTCTTCAAGTTTGGCCTGGCCTCGGCCTGCCCCATGCCCCAGGCGCAGGAGGCTGAGTTGCGCCCTTTCTTGGGGCGGGTCAGACCGAGGACGGGGAGGGCAGCCAGACGCACGCAGCACAAACGCTGCACCCGCATTGAGATTCACATCCACATACAGCCGCGCAGACATCATACACATACACAAGCCACGCAGACGCAAACCCAATCGTTCACATGACACGCGCACCGCACAACACATACGCGTAGGATTTGCAGAACGTGGCAGGCGCGGCACCTCCTCGACACCATAGGGGGTATGCAGAGGGTGGCCCCTCACTGTGGCCTCCATCCGTCTCAGGGTCGCGGGGCGTGCGGGTGTGCAGAGGGTGGTCCCTGAGCGTGGCCGCTGTCCGTGCGGGTCGTTCAGGGCGCAGGAGGTGTGGCGCTTCCTCGGCACCATAAGGTGTGCGCAGGAGGTGGTCCCTCACCGCGGTATCTATCCGTCTTAGGGTCGCGTGGCGTGGCAGGCGTGGCTTTTTCTCCACACCACAGGGGGCGCGCGGGGGCTAGTCCCTGAGAGCGGCCGCTATCCGTGCCGGTCGTCCAGGGCGTAGCAGGCGTGGCATTTTCTCGACACCACTGGGGGTGTGCAGGGGGTGGTCCCACTATGCGTGCTGGTTGTTCATGGCATAGCAGGCGTGGCACTTTCTCGACTCCGTGGGGGATGCGCAGGGGGTTGTCCCGCTATGCGCGCCCGTCGTCCAGGGTATAGCAGGCGTGTCATTTTCTCGACCTTACGGGGGTGCGCAGGGGGTGGTCCCGCTTTGCGCGCCCGTCGTCCAGGGCTGAGCAGACTTGGCATTTTTCTCGACACCAGGGGTTGTGCGCAGGGGTGGTCCGTGAGCGCGGCCGCTATCCGTGCCGGTCGTCCAGGGCTGAGCAGGCTTGGCATTTTTCTCGACACCATCGGGGGTGTGCAGGGGGTGGTCCCGCTCTGCGCATGGCATAGCAGGCGTGGCACTCTCTCGACCCCATGGGGGAAGCGCAGGGGGTGGTCCCGCTATGCGCGCCCGTCGTCCAGGGCATAGCAGGCGTGGCACTTCCTCGACACCCTGGGGGGCGCGCAAGGGGGTGTTCCCGCTCTGCGCGCGGGTCGTCCAATGCATACAGTCAACCCGCATAGTAAGGATGGGCAACCTTCCCAGGGGTACCCTTGCATCCTTGCCTTCTTGGCCCATCCTTGGCCGCTTTCGTTGGCCGCGGCCCGCTCGAAAAGCTTCGAGATGGGCGTCCAAGGCCCTTGCATCCTTATCGCGCATCCTTACTGTGCGGGTTGACTGTAGCAGGCGTGGCATCCATACAGGAGGGTGTGCAGGGGGTGGTCCCTGAGCGCGGTATCTACCAACGCCAAGGTCGCAGGGCGTGGCAGGCGTGGCATTCCCCCCTCCCCCTCCAGCTCCCCTCTGCATCTTGCTGGCGCAGACTTTCCCGAGGACGCAAAGAATGAAGAAGAGTGGGTTAAGCGCCGCCTGCGGCCTGCCTGACAGGGCCCGCGGTAAGCGGTCGCGTGTGGACATGTTGTCTCGCTGCTCTGCAGGCGAGTGTGTCGGCAGCGTCTAGTTGCGCTGTCGTGTTGGTATCCATGGGTGAGGTTCTTGCAACGACCCACAGCCAGCAGATGGTCCGATGAGGGTTCGGCCAGTGCGAGATGAGACGGAGTTTGGTGGATAATTGCTTGTTGCACGCCTTGCATAACCCGTCGTCGTCGGCATAGTGCCGCCGCCCAGTGCGAGCGCCATTCTTGACCCGAGCTTCCGTCAACATGGCTTGGTGCGTAGCAAAACAACGTGAGCAGTGCGTGCCAGAGAGGGAAGCGACCTCACCACTGCCAGTGGTATTGCGCGACACATCACAAACAGACGCCAAGAAGCGAATGCCATGAACGA